GGACTCTTCTGACAGCCACTTTCTCAATGCATGCTTTGCCATGCAATCTGCTCCAACATACTCATTCCTGAAGAGCCTTCTAGAGTCCCTTAATAACATGATGGTTTTTAATGGCTTGTTTTGTAAAGGTCAAGTAGAAACTCTTTAACAGCTATTTCTTAAAACAATACTGAAACAGCATTAAGTTTCCAAGCAAATATGCATCATGCAAGAAAAGCAACCCAACTTTTTCCTTCCTTTTGCATCATTATTATGATACATATCAGGACAAGACCATTTTGTGCTGCACTGGTGGCTGTATCTTGTGTTGCTTGAAATTGCACTTGGCATGGACACTTCACAGATAGCAGCTGCGTGTAGCTGAAAGGGACAACACAGTGACTCGCCTACAGTGAAACCTTCCAGACTTCCAGGACAGAGTGATATTTGGCACACTTTTAATGCATTTGACGGTCTCTCCAGAAATATATTATGACGATCCCCGAACAACTGGATAACAGCTAAGCCATATCTGTTCCATTTATGGTTAAATACTAACGATGTATTTATGTTCCTGACTGAAAGTTCAAGTGTGTTAAAATATAGAACCCTCATCCACATATGCCTCTGGTGACCACAAGATACTGACTCCCTTTCTCAAGTCCAAATGACTCCTACCTGCTGCCATTTCCTGACAAAGAGTGTATAGAGGGGGAAAAAAAAAAAAAGGAAAACAGAAAAGAAAAAAAATATAAAATATAAAGCCTTTGCATATAGTGCTACTCTATCAGCTTGACTATTTCCAGGAAGCAGATGTCTCAGGTTCCAGACACTCTCTGCTCTGCCAAGAGCCAGAAGCATCGGAGTCATTTAAAGGTTTCCTACAGGTGCTCCCAATAATTACATAGAGAATAACACAAATGCTCTAGAGACATAGATTTACCCGCTATTATACTACAGTGAAATGAAAACTAATGTGGACCTTCATCAGTTTTTATCAGAGTGAAAAGTGCTAGTTAGAAAATGTCATATCATACTTTTCTGCATAAATAGTTCTGCAGATCAGATATAAGGTGCACTGAGAGCTTTATGGGGAACTTTTTCTGCAAATTCCCATATTATGACTCTATTTGGCTAGTACTTCTGGTGTCTGACTTTCAGCACTGAGCCAAAATATTTTGTAAGAAGTGATTAAAAGTATATATATTACTAAAATAAATGCAAAGAACAGATGGCAAGTGAATTTCAAACACAAATGCAGTTTCTAGAGCTTACAGTGCTTCTGCCAACTTTAGCACTATTTTTAGCGTAAATTGAAAACAAGGTTCTGTTAACTAAACATTTTGGCAGTCACAGTATTGATTCAATTAATCTCAAAACAGAGAAACGTCAAAAACTGTATTAAGTCAGAATCTTTGAAAAAGTCCAGAGTTTTATATCCTTAGTGGAATATTAGTCTTATAAAAAAACCTAATCTAATTTGTAGGCAAATAACCTTAGTTTTCAAGTTCCTTCCCAATTCTAAGATCTAGAACAGGTCACTGAGTGTTTAGTTTTGCCTAAACTGCTTAGGTAAAGAGTCTAATATTTTAAATTAACTGGAAAAAAAGGCAGCAGTGTCTAAGAGAAAAAGACATTTCTACAGAGTTCCTCAATTTAAGAATAAAATAGATATAATGTTTAATAACAATAAAAATAAAATTTGAGGAAACATAAGTGGTTTGGATATTAATATAATTGTACCTTTTTTGTCATAAGAACAACATGGACTTTTTTTGTCCATAAATCAACAATACACTTAACTGTAAAAGTCACAGTGCAAAACTAGATAACACATCACACACAAGAATTAAATATTTTCCTATACAATGAAATTTGTGTCTTTCATTTTCATGTGTACCCACTTCTCCCAGAAAGTTGGGGTTTTTTCAGTCTGCAGACACAAAAGATGCTTTTGCCAGCATATTTACTGACCTGACAACATCAGAAGGCTTCTTTTTCAGAGGATGAAAGAAAGTCCTCAAATTCATCAATCTGGTTGCAAAGAAGTATGTATGCACTTTCTGAGAGATACACACATGGATGATTTTGGTTTTAAGGAGTTTGATTCTACTTGTACACATGTTCTTCATTATTATTATTATTATTATTATTATTATTATTACTACTACTATTACTATTATTATTTTAAACATTCTTGCTTTATCCTTATGGAAGGCAGGACTCTGTATGCTATTGGCCAAAGCCCATAAAACAGGAGTTCACATACAAGAGCTTGGTCAAACTTACTATAACTACATACAACGCCAGTGGAACTACAAGAACATTCAGTGATGAAAGAGAGTGGAGTGACAAGTATGCCCACAACCCGTACTTGTGGAACAACTCACAAGCTGAAGGAGCCGTGTTTGAGAGGCTAGAGTCAAGTTTCATTATGTCATACAGGAAATCTATGAATTTTGAAAGTGTTAGTCCACTTCTTTCAGCCTTCCAGATTCTTCTGGATGCCTCTGGAAGGATGACAGGTCACAACTCAGAAGATTCTTAAAAAACAACTGATGTAGTATGATAATTACTATACCATGGTAATACAGCACATAGTATGAACCATTCTTCGCCTTTACTTTCAGCTTCAACAAAGATTATTTTATTTGTATTTAAAAAATGGAGTAACTGCTACCGCAAAACCAAGAACAGCAAATATGAAGTTGAAATATACACAATAGTTTTTATTCTTTCTAGTTTGTTTCAGCACAGTTTCCACAAATCCGAATCCACCCCTCTTTTTTCCCCTAAAAGATATTCTCCTTTTTCACCTTATATTTCAGGATATTTCTTCTTTGTCTGGAGGGAGTTGGAACTGACCATCACTGCCTTCTCAGTTTTCAATCTTTTCCAAATTTTCCATTTTTCAAATGTCAAGGTGTGCACAGCAGTATGAATGGACACAACAGTTGACCTCACTCAGCTGCTGCCGCTGCTTTGTTCCACTAGGAGCTGGCCAAGAATCTGACTGCCTACCTCCATGTGGGTCCTTTGTTCTACACCTACACAAGTCACGCCTAATTTGTACAGGCCTAATGAATGACACAACCGAATAAAGTTTAGCAACACTTCTTGAACTCTGGAAATTATACCAACAACTCATACCACTGAATTGCATTCCTTCAAATATTTTGCAACTAAGTGCAGGCTCCGATTTCTCATTTTTTTTTTACATTCATGTATGCAAATGCACATGAATTTGGAGAAATTTATCCTTGCAGAAAACAATGGTATAACTTTCATTTTATTGATAAATACCAAAAGAAAACTATAGTGTCAGCATTGGCAAGCTTCACCATCTGTACATAGTTCTATGATCTGAACTAGAAACACATCACAAGAATTTTTAAAAAAGGCAATATATCCTTCTTAAGAATTAAATGTACTCTAATAAAAACAATAAGACTGAATATAAATTTCACAGAAATCAGAGCAAGTTATGCAGTAACAATTACAGACTATATAAATTAAACCACCCATTTTGCTGGAGAAAATGAAATCTCATTTTTATTAATAATTTGCTGAATTAGAAAAGAAATTCTGAATTTGATTTTGAAATTCTGAAGTAACTAAATAGTCTAGAATCTTCTTGACCTTCAAATAAAGCAAACCACTAAACACAAACTCTACTCTTTGTAGACAACTCTCATGCTCATTACAGTCAGAGCCTCAGAAAGTTATCAAATCTTCAGAAACATGCTCTCCCAAGGTCAGATTCATTTGCAGTGAAACAACCATCCCCCCTAATTTCATGTTAGTAATTTCCTAAATAAAATAACACTTTATTTTCCCACACTTAGTTCTGTTCGACAATGAGAAGAGGAGGGAAACTACATTTTATCTTCTGTAAGGGTGCCGTGTGCAATATAAAAAAATAGCAAATTATTTTAACACAATTTTTAAACAATCACACAGTTTGAACTTATAAAACCTTGGCAATCTTGGGAAGTTTCAAGTTGCATTTTCCCTTTCAGTTGAACTGTTATGGCTGCATAACTTGATTTAAACAGGCATAAGAAATGTATGAGCTTGTTGTGCCTTGTTATAACATTACTTGCCTATTACGACTTACATATTTGTACTTCATCAGGAGGCACACTGTAGCCTACACATTTGAACCTCCTTGTCCAGAAACAGACAGTTCTTCAACCACTGCAAAAAGTGAAGCTTTGCATAGGCTTTTTTGACCTCGCACTGTGACCCTCATACCAGCATCCACAGGCTACAGGTCATGACCTCAAGAATTAGCATCATGGAAATAAGAGCCCTTCCAGGTTTAGTTACAGAACAGAACACTGTAGCAACAAACCCTCAGTCTTCTCTAAACTGAACTCTGCAGCTTTGTTTTAACTCCACTGGAAGACAATAGATAACCCACACTTCAGTTTCCATTACCCGCACACTAAATCATCTCCTCTCCAGCTAAAGGTCTGAGCTTGCGCTGCACTATGAAAACATTCATTCAGTGTGGATCGAAAGCCAATATCATATTGCCACTAGATGATCCTATTAAAAGGTTAAAGAAACATCACTATGGAATTGAAGACTTTTGCAACGTTAAGAAAAAAGGCTGAAATAAGTCAGCTCTGTTAAAATTTTATCTCCTAAGCAGGCTACTTTGCATACACTTCCTCCGGGGAAAAAGAAAAAAAACCCTCCATCACATGGTCTTTCACAAGGCTACACTACTGCTAATAAAGCTCCGCTTATATTAAATTGATAATAAATAATCTCCATAACAAGCTCCATTATATATTAAATCCTGAACTGTATTTCTAAACTAGTCTTTCCATCAGCAAGCGCTCTCCGATGCGTTTAGTGACGGGAAGGGGATCTGAGCGAGGGTTCCGGGAGTCCCGGGCAGCCGTTCCCCGCTTCCCGCAGCAGGGGGAGCCAGCGCCCTCGGCCTCGGGCGGCGCGAGGCACCGGGGAAGCGCCGGGTGGGAGAGAGAGAGGGAAAGGGGCACGAGACTCACCTTCCTCCGGGAACTCCCAAGAGTAACTGTAGGGAGAAGAAGAAGAAACATCATAAAGCAATGCACACTTGCAAGGCCATGGTGCCAGGACATGGCACAGAACAACAACTAGTTTTCAACAAGTTTCATAGTTGAAACTTAGCGCTGCAAGTTTTCCTTTCAAATTCTGCAGTCTTTATCTTTGGCTTAAAGTATTCACTCAGTTTTTCTTTTCCCTTTGCAGCTGAAAGAATCCCCAGCCACTTTAAAGAAGACTTGAAAAAAACCAAACTCAGACAGAGCAGCCTTTTCGAGGAACATATATCTACTCAGACATCTTAAGGTATAAACATAAAAAAGCATCTTTAATTTTAGTAAGCCTTCTAAACGTTAACATGTTTCAAAACTTTTCATGCACAAGTAAAAGCCACTGAGCATATTTTAAAATATGGGTCAGCAGGAAAAGACAAAAATTATTACAAACAGTTGTTTTATCTGCAGTAAATTTGCAGAAATCTAAATGAAAATGTATTAATAATTAACCAAAAATTTAAAAGCCTAAATAAAAAAATCCTTTTCAAATAAGGAGATCTAAACTTATTTAATGCCTAAAAAAAAAATTCTACCATCCCAGGGGGAATATGTACTGTTTCTTCAGAGCTAAAACTTATTTCAGAAACAAAAATAATTTGATGATACGGATAAATAATCAGGACAGAGTTACGTAAAATGGCATTCATGGACTAGAATTTATGTGAAAAGAGGAGGATTTCGTCAGAACTAACTGACAAATAAAATGAAGCTGCCAAGATCATCTTTATGGACAATAAGGAGGAGGGCACATATCAGGTTAGTCAGTAAGAAGATTCTTGCAAGTAACAAGCAGAAGAAAAATGAAGGGTCTAGGGATAAGAAACTGAGAAATGCCAACAGAGATAAAAGGCCAGATCTAAGAAATACAGCATAGCAAGTGGCAGTAATAGACACAGCCCAACATGTGGGATGTGAAAATCAAAGATGACTAGAATGTGCATGTATTTTGTAGTCTGCCTGAAAAGCAAAACCATGTTAATAGTGAACAATATTACAGGAGATGAGGAATGAATTAGAAATTAGGGTCACAAAAATGAATAGCAAAGGATTCAGCGTCAACTTTGCTCATAACTGCAGGTTCCCTCCCTTTGGTATTTCATCATCCAAAAAACCATAGTTCAGTCCTAAGACCGAAGAAAGAAGTCAGTAGTGCTGTAGCTGCAGGTCTTCTATAAAGGGCCAGTTAACTCAATAATCCACAAAGGAAAGCACAACCAAATAAATAAAATCCTAGTTCCTTATCAGAGAGGACAGAATCCTAGTTCCCTAAGCATTTACATCCTGAATGAAAGGCACACAGAACTTCAGCTACAAGAATTTGGGACACATCTCATCTCTCCCTACAGTCAGGGCCATGCAAAGAATGATGCCCTCACCAGATGATTGTGCCGTCTTTGAAATTGTAAACAAGTTGCCTCAGGGGCAGAAGAATTTCAAAGGAACGATTAGGGGATATCACACAGGAGTGATCAGTAGGAAAGCAGTTTGGAAACAACAGCACTTTGGAAACAATGTGAAAAGAACAGCAAGTACTAAACTATATCCTGGTTGATTAGAGTTGCAAGAAAAGAGATTTTTCAAAGAAAATTCGGTAGTGCAAATGAAACTATAGCTAAATATCTTTACTGAATTGCTGACTGAAATTAAAACTCTATAAAACAATCTCAAATTCTCCTTGACATTAAAACAAACAAGGACACACACAGCCCTCTGCTTTGACTGTCATAATACTTCACTATTTTAACACTGCTGAAACAAGCTTATGATCTATAAATAGTTTTCAGTTATGTTTCAATTTTCTATTACAGAGCTAAACAAAAAAATGTATAGTAAAGCAAAGCCAGCATTGACTTATGCTGTTTTACACCAGCTAGGAATGGTGTTCGGAAGCTCATTCACATTGTCAAGGCATTGTATTTCTCATATTTTAATTAATCTTACCAAAGCTGAAGTGATTGCAAGCTCTACCCAAAAAGCTTGCAATCAGGGTTCAGAATATTAAGCAATTCAAATGGGACAATCATCCTGATCCCATTTCTTACTAAATTGTAACAGTTTCAAGAAAGATTATTTGACAAAATCAGGACTTAGACAGATTTTTTTAATTGTTAATATTGTTAATGTTTATTAAAAGATTGTAAAAAAACTTAAGTTATCACTAAGTGACTTTATAACATATTAAAACCATGAAGCTACTTACCTTGCCTTAACATCCTTTATCTTCTTAAGAAGAATTTCCCTTTTTTCTTTGGCTTTCCTGGATAGATTTTCTCCTTTTAGCATTTGGGAAATAAATGTTTCAACATCTAGTAAAGAAAAAATATAAAAGATAAAATAGTGCTGTAATGAGTTGTCCTGATACTACTGTGAAAAAACTAAGAAAATTATTTTCAGTTCTACACACAGCATCGTTAACACTCATTTCAGAGTCTAAATGGGATACATTTGTTCCCTATCTATTTATGCTTAGGACAGCAAATCCTATGGTGATGTTTGATTCTTGCTCACTTAATTATGCTATGTAAGTCCTAACAAATTGCGGTACTATAACAATTACTCTCCATCACCTGAAGTAAGAGATAGAGATAAAACATCAATATAGCCTTTATTCATGTATTCCTGCCATATTATTTCAGAAGTTCAGGTTTCAAAGATGGTTGAGTAATTTATTATTTCAGCAGTAACAATTACCCAGCTCCTAATATAGGTCACTTACTGGTTACAGTATTTTCAAGTGTTCTCACATTGCCTCTGAACTCCCTGATTGACTAAAGATTCATATCCAAAGCCTTAATCTTGAAAACAACTAGGTAGGCACAATAACCATATCAAAAGAGTCAAGTTCAACAGTGTACTTGAAATTAAGCACACCTGCAATTGTAGAATCACAAACTAAGGCTCTAACCTGCACTGTAATTCTTCATTCTTATACAGATGATACATTTATATAGTCGTGTAGAAACAAAGCATTCCATAAAAGTTACCACGGTTCTTTTAATATGGCAAATATCCATTCCACAGGATAAAAGCAATGCAGTGTCTGAGAATTTGGGGGAGTGTAACTCCTCCAGCAGTATGTTTTCTTCATTAACAAAAACAATGGCAATAGCCAGCTGTAAACTTTTCTTACAGTTACCAATCAACATATGACTATCCTGAAAACAGAAAAGTAGAAATACAACCAGAAAATCCTGCTTGTTAACTTAAATGTCTCACCTGTAGATAGTAATTGCTAATTGAATAAGAGCAAGCAAACATAAGTAAAAAAAACACCCTCACACACCCCCCATAGCCACACATATAGATAGATAGATAGATAGGTATAGATAGATATAGATATTTATACACACACACTTTGGCTCACTCCATGTAGATGCAAATAGACATGGACAGTACTATTTTAATCCTCTAGCTTTTCCAATCAGATATTTCATTTTAATACAGAAATATCAAAGAGCCAGCTAAATTCTCAAATGTTTGCATACAAAAGTTTACATGAATAGTTACTGCAGATTTCCGAAATTAAAAACTTAATTGCCTGCTTTTTTTCATAAAACAGAAACATATCACACCTTATATTACAGGCTGCAAGAAAACAAGTCAAAAGTTACTGTTTGAGAACACTAGCATAGCTATTACAAAGACATTGTTCCTTATAAATAATTTACCAGATTATTATTTAGATGTTTAGATTTGTGTCTTCACGAAGTGTGGCAAAAACATTCATTTTTAAAGTATTTTAGAGTTTTGAAGAATGATATTGTTCTCTCTCCTCATAAGAGAGAGAATCTTCCCCATTTTATTTTCCTATGAAGTTCCGAATGGGGGAGACCCTCACTCAGTTCTATGGCATTCCTTCTTTAAAAGGACAGAAGGAAAGGCACTTAACGTCTATTAATGAATCCTCCAGACACACCCCCAACAGCCTCTCTGCCATACACCAAGCACCGCCAGAAAGATTTTGTCCTAACCCATGGAAAAAGTACACATCTTCATAAATTCCAATGACTGGAATTGCCAATCAAGCTTCCAGATGAGGACTTACAGAATCCAAAGATACTGACCAACTACAAAACCTGGGTCAACAAAACCATACTTTTACTACTGAGAGCAAAACCAAAAACCATCAACAGTTTTTCTCTCAATGAAACCTAATGGGATTTTCCAGTACAGACCAACCTTTCACTCAGAGAGGGACAGCCTGATTAAATATTTGTTCCTTCCTACTTTTACATATTTATTTCAAAAATTATATAGCAGCTTAAAAGTTCTACCTAGGTAGCAATATGCAAAAATTTAGAGGAATTAGTAATGTTCATAAATTGGGAGCAATGCTTGCAAAGTAACCTTAATCACAGAACTTGACTTCGGAAGTCTTCATTTAAACTCAGTGGGCTTCTTTACTTCTTGGAAAAGCTCAAAACCCAGGTGAGAATTCTGCCATCTCAGAATCTCAGGTTTTCACTCTCAAATCTTTATTCAAATACAAATGTTCAGATAATTAAGGAGTATGTGGGGAAGAGAAACCCAGCTGACTATCATAAGCAAGAATACCACTTCTGGCTTAAAATACACTGTAAATATAAAAATTTGAGGACTAACTACACTGCTGGCAGAATTTGTTCTTTTCCAAAAAACCTTGGACTTCTAAAGCAGAAATAATAGAGAATTTTCAGCCATGGAGGGACAGGGCAGAAGTAGATGCTGCATTTATTTTCAGTACGCAGAGAGCTGGAGAAGACAGGCAAAGGAGAGAGACAGAAAGAGAGCAGGCATGCACAAGATCCTGACAACTTTGTTGTTTCTAAATAGCAGCAGTTACAGAGAAGACACCACTGGGATGGCTTCCCTCTCCCATGAGATGATAAAACAAGTTCTCAGAGGTTAGGTATCCACAGTCAGAAAGCATTGTATTCATCATGGAACACTATTACTTCCATATGTTCAGAGAAAACATGTGGCTTGATTGATCATAACCCCAAAATAAGAAGACAGACCTGACATACACATGATCTTCAACAGGATGCTAAAGAATCAATTTACCTGAAAACACACTTTACTGCATCATAGATTTTTCTTATCTACTCACAATTACACAGAATGTTACATATCTTGCTCAAGCCATGTTCTGATCTAGTGTTGTAAACCCATCCAAGATATGCCAGATGCACAAGATGAGTAACATCCTAAGCTCCTCTGGACAAGAAGCCAGCAAGTTATCTAAGTTACAATCATCTCTTCACTTACCTGTACTTCCACACTGTGGAAGAATATGGAAGGAGCAGTCACTGCTGTTAGAGAAAGCTTTATACCACTCGCTTAACATAAAGGAATGTTCCTGTAATTTCTCTGACATTGCACGAAGTGATTTACCTTGGAATGAGAACAGAACTTGGGACTTCAGTATGACAGATCCAAGCTTCATACAGTGAACTTCAAACAGAAGCAGCAAGATGTACCCATTTTTCACCAGAAGTCCAGTCACTTATTGCTCTTCCCTCTCCTGGATGACCCACAACATGATCTCTCCTCTGCTAGGTTAATAGTATACAGAAAATGAAACTACTAGTCACAAACATTTGACTGTAGATGTGTTTCGTGCTTCAGTAGCAGTTGATCCATGGAGGAATTTAAAAAGGAATAAAAGATAAACTCCAAAAAGAAAACCTCTTTGAACAGATTTCTGATTTAAAAGCATTTTAACTAATCAGTTACCCCACAGCAAACAAAACAAACTACACATTTTCATAAATTCGTCCTCACAAACTGAGCAGATAATTTAGTATAACGCATTGCAGACACTCAGCTGTTCCCAGTGAAAACACTAAAATAAACAAACACTTAAAAAACCCCGAGAAATAAACTGTGGAAACCTATTTATCACCTCTTAACTTTTCTCAAGCTTGTGTTAGACTGCCTGATAGCTTGAACACCCATACTTGTTGCTCTGTTTCTTAAAGCTCATGATGTTAGATTTGTTTGCACCCTCCCCAGAGAAATCATTTGCCTGCAGAAATGAGTAAAACCTACCAAACTGAAAGATCCATAAAATGCTCTGTCAGTACAGGTTACTAACTGACAGAAAATGGAATTCACACCACAGTCTTGCTCAGTCCACTTCAACAAGCTCATACAGTTCAAAGCTTACGTGCCACTTCATAGAATTAGCTAAAACGCCATTTTAATCTTATTTTCATCTACATTTCTTTTACAAGGAGAAAAGCTAAGATTTATTTTGCATTTCACTGTTAAAACAGTTTATGGTTCTCTTTACTTCAATGATTATAAACAGACAACACTGTGAGATTTTAATTGTTTTTAAGTCTTTGGAGCTATTTTCTTTAATGAAGGCTGAAAACACACAGATGGAATTTTTCAAGAACATTGTAAATTTTTAGCCCAAAGCGAGTGCTGCGTTAAAGAGTGCTAATCATAACAAATCATAGCACTATTGTTGTTTACAGGGTTTAATATTGTAATTATAAGTCACACTTTATAAACAAACATACTTAGGACAGGACTACCTCAGTTTTGTGTCAGGGTGGGCCAAGTAGATTCCCACAGAGGCACCCAAACACTGTGTGCTAGGTCTTCCTTTCTCCCCCCCTCCACCAGATAACATGATTTGCTTATCAAAAGTTAGTCACTTCATCATGAACACATGAGTTCACACCATGCAGACGACAAGAGAAGAATCAGAAGCTGGTGATGAGATGGGTGTGTTCCCAATCACACAGCAGGGCACTCGCACAGCTCCCTCTCCATGACCCAAGGAGAATGCAAGCCCCTGTTCCAAGGCTGGACATGAACCCATCATATGACAAGGGTCACTTGCATGGGGTAACCCAGCAGAGGTACTACCAGTCACACATAAAGGCAGTAACAGGTTGGCAGAACAACTCCTCCAGCCACCAGCCTTGTCCCATCTCTCTCTTCCACCTCAAGGACTGAGAGCCAGAAGCCAGCTGCCAGCCAGAGAATGCAGGACAGCAGGCCAGAGAATTTTGGAAGGTAGCTGCGAGCTAGGAACATTTGTTACACACACACTGTCCAAAGGTGACCAACATTAAACAGACTGCCATGTATTTTTCAGCTTTACATGGGCTGGCATTAGAAAGCAATTAATTAATTTCATTTCAAAGTTTTCACATGATTCATTAATAGGGAACAGGTCTGAAGACAAACTATCAAGCAATATCTGCCATTGCCTGTTCTCTTGCATAAAGAAATATTTGAGGATTTTGCTTCTGCTCTCCCCTTGCCTTCCCAGCTATACTTACAAATCTCTCTCCAGTTTGCTAAATTG